AGCCATGAGTGTGACGTGGGCCGCCCAGGCCAGCAGGCAGGACGTGGGGTCAGGGGTTCCAGCAGGAAAGGGGCTGAGCCGGCAGCCACGGGGTTCCTGTAGGGTCAGGCTCTGCTGGTGCCAGAAGTAGGGCAGGAGCACGTGGCAGGTAATGGGGCTGTGCTGCCAGGAACACGGCTGGGAGCTGTGGGATGTGGGGATGGGGCAGTTTTGGGCTTGGGGAGCCCACCGTGGGGGTGGGTTGGCTGGCATGGAGCTTTGCTGTGGGGTCAGTGGGGATGAGTCAGCCCCTGTGCTCTGCTATGGGGGTCAATGGGTTTAGGTCAGACCCAGTGCTTTGCTGTGGGGTCAGTAGGGATGGGTCAGCCCCAGTGCTGCGGCTGCAGGGCTGCGCTGTGGGGCCGTGCCTATGGTTGCGTTCAGGACCCGCTTCCCCGCTTTCGCTTCCCCGCAGCTTCTCGGTCCATCCCGGGAGCGCAGGGCCGGGGCTGCCCTGCCCCGCTCCGACGGGAGCCGACGGGGCCGGACCGGGGGGGCGGGGGGGTCAGAGAGAGGGCCGTGAGGCGGGGGGCGGGGTTGGGGTTGAGGGCCGATCGGGGGTCCGCAGAACGCAGGGAGCACGGAGGGGTCGCGGAGCTCCGGAGCGCGGAAAGTCCGGGAGCGGCAGCGCGGCCGTCGGGGCGGGGACCCCCCGGGCGCCGTCCCCGAAGTTTCCCTCCGCCCTCCGCTCCCCTCGCACAGCGCTCCCCGTTGCCATGACGACTCCTTAAACTAACGCCCCGCTGCCGGCGGCGGGGGCCGAGAGCGCGGAGGATCCGCCGCGATCCGCCCCGTTCGCCCCCGCCCGCTCCGCGCTGCGGCTCTCCGGCCGCGCCGCGGCTATGGTGGGTCGGGCCCCGCAGCCCCGCAGGTATCAGCGGCCACAGGGGGTCTGGGGGGGTGAGCGGGGGCGGCGGGGGATGCTCTGCCCCGCGGAGCGCTCCTCGGGCCGTGGGGTGCGCGGGCACGGAGCTTCGTGGGGCTCCGCGGGCTGTGGGTGGGGGGAGATGTGACCCTTCTGGGGAATGGAGGGGGGGTCCGTGGGCGGCCGGAGCCGTGGGGCCGGGCTTTGTCTGCCGGGAACCGCGCTGGTCCCCACGCGGGACGGGTGCCCGAGTGGGCAGCGGAGCGGCACGGAAGCGGGGGATGCCCCGGTCGGGGCTGTGCCGAAAGCGGGGCCGTCCGGTGCGGGTGTGAATTCGGGCCGTGGTGGGGGGTCGGCGGTCGGGTGGTTTCGGAGTGAGGCTGCGGTGTGAGCTGGGATGCGCACACGGGGTGGCAGCCGTCGGGGTTTGCGGCTGTGGCACCGCCGTGCTGGGGGGTGAGGGCCGCGTGGGGCGGAGGTGGGCTGGAGAGAAGGGCTGTGGCTGTAGGAAGGCTGTGGGAAAAGGGCTGAGATTGAAATGCATTGAATGTGCTGGGAGGTGCAGTGACACGGATGTATGGAGAAGGGGCCGTGGTTTGTGGTCGGGTGTGTGGACTTTCCTATGAGAGTGGTGAGGTGCTGGAACAGCCGCCCAGAGAGGCTGTGGGTGCCCCGTCCATCCCTGGAGGTGTTCAAGGCCAGGTTGGATGGGGCCCTGGGCAGCCTGGGCTGCTGTGAAATGTGGAGGTTGGTGGCCCTGCATGTGATGGGGGGTTGGAACTTCATGATCCTTGAGGTCTCTTCCAACCCAAACTATTCTGTCATTCTGTGATTCTGTGTGCTGGGCAGCAGGAGCAGTGCTGGCAGCATGCATCAGACAGGGGCTGTGATGCCTGCAGGGCGCTCCAGAAGCACTGAGGCAGCGCAGGGAGACTTGCTGGTGAGGGCACATCGCTGCTTTCTTAACAGGTCTGACATCTGTGCGTGCAGACCTTCGCCCTGGGCTTTGCACGCAGTGCTCTGTGCTCCATTTTTCCATGTGCTCTGTGCTCAGTTTGTGAGCAACGAAATGTGTTCGATCACCAACTCCTCTCTGGGTTCTGCTGGGTGACACAACTCCGGGACCGGGATGGGCTGATGGGTTCTGCTGTCTCCAATGTCCTGCTGGGAAAATGAAACTGTGCTGCTCTAATCCTGTCCTCAAACTGCGTCAGGGGAGCAGCAGACTCCAGAGCTGGAGTACTGATGTCCATGGTGCTCCGTGTTGGGATGGAAGCATGGAGCAAACTGGGTTTGAGCCGGAGCCAGACGTGCTGCTCAAGGCTGAGGGATGCACGGCTGCATCGCTTCCATGCAGGCAGTGCTTGCAGGGAAACAGGGTTGGTTCCTCGGGGGGCATGGCAGGGTCCTCCTCTCCCAGAGCTCCACCAATCTCACTTGGAAACTTCAGATGTCTCCCTCGATGGTGGCGTGCAGTGAACAACACATGTGGCAGCACAGCGCACGTTTTTGTGTCTTATTTGCTTATTGAAGTTGTGCTTACATTTCTGACAAAGTTCTGGTGCCCACGGTGAGGTCTGAGTGCCCATTTGGAGTGTGTGGGGTATGCAGAGAAGAGGGTGACGTGGGGAAAGGGCGCAAAGGAGAACATTGCTGAGTTTTTTGTTTAGATAACAACCTATTATTTTGAAGAGTTTATACATCATGTAACACCCGAGCATTCCCAGCGTTGTTGGTTTTGGTTTGAGGGTGAGTAATCTGTAGTATTTGTGTGTTTGCTCCATGCATTCAGTTGTAGAGGTGTGATGAGGAGGGGATGAGCGAGGAAGGAAGGAGTTGGTGCTACCAGGATTGGGGTGGGATGAGGTCACCCCCCAGGGACCATTGTATCCTATACCTGGGTCAGGGGGCAGCGGAGACACAGCCGCCCTTATGGGACACAGAGCCCTGGGGTGGGATCTGTGATAAGGGAGGCCTCAGAGCTGAAACAAGCAGAAAGAGTAAATTGCCATCCCACTCCTAAAGGCAGCTGAGCTGCTGTAACTGTGACAACAGGCGCAGGTGATCAGTTCCACAGGCAAAGTGGGGAGGGGGACCAGCGCTGGCATTGGGGGAACCTCCCGGGGCTCAGCCCATCCACTGTGGGATCGGCTGCCCCGGCTGCTGGCAGTGTAACTGGAGAGGAGGGCTGGCGAGGAGCTCTTCAGCATTAAATATTGACAGATCCTCTGTGGCAGCAGCAATGTGAGTTTGTGATGCCGGATATTCTGTCGGGACGAGCGGCTCTGGGGGGCACTGGGCTGATCTCTGGGGCACTGGGCTGTGTGTGTAAGGAGCAGCTCAGGCTTCCTGGCCCGGATCCTTCTGCTTTTTACACACATCCTCAGTGGAGACTAAAAGAATGGCAGGAAGTGCAGCACGCACCCGGCGCAGCCCATGGCTGCTGCTGATGGAGCCTGCATGGCACAAGGCTTTTATAGCAGGGCTCCTCTGCTCCTGTTGTGATGACAGGCATGGGGGCTGCACCATGGGCACTGGGATGGCCCCTTCTGTAGGGCATGGGGATATGGGATGGCTCCTTCTGTAGTGATGGAGATGTGGGATGGCCTCTTCTGTAGTGCTTGGGGCTGTGAGATGGCCTCTTCTATAGGGCTTGGGGATGTGGGATGGTCCCTTCTGTAGTGCTGGGGATGTGGGATGGCCTCTTCTGTAGGGCTTGGGGATGCAGGAAGGCCTCTTCTGTAGGGCTTGGGGCTGTGGGATGGCCTCTTCTGTCGGGCTTGGGGATGCAGGATGGCCCCATCTGTAGAGCTGTAGGGCCTTGGGATGTGGGATGGCCACTTCTGTAATGCTTGGGGCTGTGGGGTGGCTCCTTCTGTAGAACTGTAGGTTCTGGAGCTGTGCAATGGCCCCTTCTGTAAGGCTTGAGGATGCAGGATGGTCCCTTCTATAGGGCCTGGAGCTGTGCGATGGCCCCTTCTGCAGGGCTTGGGGATGCAGAATGGCCCCCTCTGTAGGGCTTGGGGATGTGGGATGACCCCTTCTGTAGAGCTGGAGGGGACATCTCAGGGCTGTGTGTTGGACACAGCACATGGCATTGCTCCTCCATGGGACTGTGGCCGTGGGACACCTCAGCAAGCTGAAAGGTCTCCATGTGAGCCCCAGCTGCAGGCATCTCTGTGAGCCCCACCAGCCACATGGCGGCCCTGGGGACGTCTCTCCAATCAGATGAATTCCTTCAGCCCTCTGAGAGAGGAATCTCCAGATGCTCCCCGGCTCCCACCTCTGTCTTAGGGACAGCATCACTTCTGCTCTCACTTTGGAGCTGCTGGGGACCAGCTGCTGTGATGGCTGCAGACCCTGTTACCCTGGAAGAGGAAGAAGCTGGGTGAAAAGGAGCGAAATTTGGGTATCCTCAGCAAAAGAGTCAAACTGAGGCCATTGAACAGGAGGGGCAGAGCAGCCCCACAGTGCTCCCACTGAGTCCCCTCACCAGCAGCAGACTCCTTGGGGACCGGGCTGATGCACAAGCAGCAGTCTGAACACATTGCGGATCATCTGCATAATTTATTCCTCTTGTGAAGAGTTTAATTTATCAGGCCCAATAATAAACTCATACATCTCTGCCTTTTATCAGAGCTGGAAGGAGATGCTCGTGCTCTAAGCATTGAATTTATCCCCAGAGCTGCTTCTCGTGCAGACCGGTGCCGTGACATTATGGGATGCACGCTCACATGGTCAGTGTTGTGCTGGGTCTCTGTCATGGGAGGACAGAGGGATGAGAAGGAGAGGAGCATCCAGACCTGGCCATCACTGAGCTCCAGCCCTCTCTGCCTTCCCATGAGAGTGGCATCAGCTCATAAGGAGCAAATCTGAGGAGCGTTTCCTTTCTCAGCTCCAGGTTCCACTGCACTTTCTGTCACCCTGAAGCTGTGAGATGAAAGCAGCAGAAACGCCGTCTCCTTTCTGGAGACTGTTCAGGATGGCTCAGCCTTTCATCTGGGTCCCTTCTTATTAGTCTCCTTTCTGGGGCGGCCATCCCTGCTCCTTCTCTTCTTCTTATAGCAGTTTTCCCACTCTTGCCTCCCGTTCCTCAGTCCCCCTGATGCTGTAGGTTTTGGCAGAGCCCCAGCACCCACCCTGCACCTGTCCTCTGTGCAGGGCTGTGCCCACTCCCAAACCACTCTTTTGCTCCCAGCGCTGTCTGCAGTGCCCATGGGGGGACTTGGCTGGTGGCACGGGGTGCTTGGCCAGTGGGGCTGGAAGCCCTGGGACTCTGGGCTGAGCCCCAGCCAGGAGCAGCAGCCTCAGCCTCGGGCCTCAGGGTGTGCTCAGGGGAAAGCTCCCATACCCCAGCCTGCTGCCCATGCCAGGGTAGTTGAGCTGACTTTCCTTGTGATGCTCACATGAAAGCCCAAAGGGTGTGGAGTGGGGATGGGCATTGGGGCTGTGCCACTCGTGGTGATACAGAGCCATGCTGTGCAGCTCCAGCCCAACCCCACTGTACTCATGGCTGGGGCTGACTGAAGCACTGGGGTAAGCTGGGGGCACAGGCTGCAGGAGGAGCCTTTGGTGGATGGGGAGCTCCTGCTCTGCATCACCACACAGTGCCTCATTCCCGTGTCCTAATTGCAGCCAAGAGTCTGCCTGCAGCACTGGCAGCGGTGGGGCACGGAGGTGGGGGCTGCTCTTTCTCTTTGGGCAATGCTGTGTGCTGCAGTGAGTGATCTGGGGCTGTGTGTGGTGGGCTGTGTGGGTGTCCCACCCCCTGTCCCGCTGTGCCCAGGTTGTCCATCCATCCCCAAGCTCTGCAAGGCTGGACCTGCCAAGTTCATTGTCCCTGCAGGCACAGCAGTCCCTGCCCCAGCACTGCCTGTCCCAACCTCGGTGTTCCCAGGGCTCAGGGATGGCAGCAGGACACAAATGTGCCCCATGCTGTTTTGTTCAGGTCCGACACAAACAATGGTGGTAGATTTCCTCTGTGTCAGCAGCACAGCTGTCCTGCGAGCCTTCTGCAGGGTGAGGGCAGCAGGGTGGTGACAGCTGTGTCCGGAGCCAGGTGCCATGGGCCCCCTGGGACCTCGGGGCATCACTTTACAAAGGCACAATAGCAGCTGGGTGAACTGCAGGGCCCACGGTGCCTCTGCTGTTGGGTGCTGGAGTGCATCTTGTACAATGTTAAAGCCTGGTGGCACCCACTGTGGTGCATCACGGACAGAAATGGGATCCTGGCAGCCGCCCCTTCCCCCCCAGCACCTTACACCGCCGTCACCATCTGCGGCACAACAAGAAATCCCAAGCCATACATTTTTAATTTTCTACAACACAGCAGCCATTTCAGCCACTCACCCAGAAAGGATCTTTAATGAGAAGCGAGGAGAGAGAGCACACACATTTCCAGCGCGCAGGAGAGCCGAGGCACTATGGAAACACTCTGCTCCCTCCCGGCTGCCTGCCGCTGCTCCGAGTTCAGCCCAGAGAACTTCCCTGCACTGCTGGAGGTGGGCTCTGCTGCTGCCTGAGCAATGAGCCCACCGCTGGCACTGCTGGGCTGGAGGCTCTGCTGGAGAGGTGGGAGAAGCACGTGAGGTCCCTCCTGCTCCCTGCTCTCCTTCTGTGGCTCCTGGGGAGCTGCGTTTTGCTCAGACATAACCTCACCGTGCTGTGCCATGGGCTGGCAGTCCTTCAGCCTGCAGGGCACAGGGGAAGCCCCTGGGGCACGGCATTGCTGTGAGCATCCCCTGCTGACCAGGGGGTTTGCTCTGGGATGCTCCAGTTCCCAGGTTCAGGACCTATGGGGTCCCCACATCTCCCTGCCGTCACGGGGAGGACATGGGTGTTGCGTGGCTGGGGATTGGTGTGGGGTGCATTGCACTGATGCTGTCCTTGCTGTCTGTTGTCTGCAGGTTGATGAGGAGGGAGTGCTGTGACCCCGTGCCTGTGACAGTCGTTTCAGGTAAGCACTGTGCTTTCCTACCCTTCCTGCCTTGGGGAATGCCCCAGGCCTGCTAGCACGGGGGTGAGGATGGTGAGGGCCCTGGGGGGTGGTCTGTGTGGGGCAGTGGGGATGGGGACCTGACCTCTGCTCTGGGACAGCAGCGTGGAGGGCTGAGGGCTGGGAAAGGATGGAGCATGTTGGGATGAAGGGGACGGGGTGCATTCAGGCAGGCAGTAAATGATGCAGAAGCAGCCATGAGTCAGGAGCAGGACATCGCAGCATGATGCACCTCGAGGAGACATCGAGCAGAAAAGGCCTGGGGAGAACTGCTGAGTGGGGCCTGCCTGGCCCATCCCATCAGGATGCAGCATGTCCCATCTGATGGAATCCCCCAGGTTCACCCAGCTGAGATCCAGGATCTCTGGGACAAACACCACTGCTCTCAGAGGACAGGAGGCTCCTGGTCACCTCGTTGGTGTGGTGCTTCTTCCAACCCCAGCTGCTCAGGTGCTGCCGTGTGCCATAGGGCTTCTACTGCCCTGCCCAAAGCTGCCAGAGCCTCTGGAAGTAAAGTAGTGGTGAGGGGTGTGCGAGGAGTGCCAGGAGCAGGATGGGGGTGTGTGCTTCCTCCCAGTGCCTGAATGGATGTGGGCAGGGGAAGGATGCGGCACCGCTTACTGGGTCTGTGGTATGGCCAGAGTGTGGCACATAGAGGGAATGGGGCAGCTGGAGATGGAGGGATGTGGGGAAGCAATGGGATGAGCTGGGGAGCCCATGGCTGGTGGAGCTGTAAGACCCAGCTGGGGGAATACAAGAGAGAAGTGTCCAGTGGGTGTGGAAGGCAGCAGGTGGCAAACGTCTGCCCTGGTTTGGGGCTGATCCCATCCCCTGCTTGGTTGAGGACCGGACTTCCACCCCGATCTCCTCCCTTCTCCTCCTGCTTGCTCCTGCCAGCAGCTTTCTCCTTCCTGGGGGTCCCGTGGTGCCCAGCCCTGACCCCAGCCCACCCCCCTGCCCCAGACAGTTCCTGCCCATGGGGGTCTGTTGGGTGCTGGTGCTGTGCGCTGTGTGCATGCACCCTGAGGGGGTGCTCCCACCTGCTGCTCTGTGCCCCAGTGCAACAAGTGCTGGGCTTGAGGGGAGCCCAGCTTCTGCCCCATTCCCTGCCGACCCCTGCAGGCATTTGCCATGCGCGCATCCTTTAAGTCCCACACAGGGGTGGGGGCAAAAACAGAGAGACCTCTGTGGATGGGCTGACCCCATGGACACCTCTGTGGGGCTGAGGCTTAGGAAGAGCCAGAGCCAGGAGTGCAGCCCAAAGCGCACGGTGGGTGTTGGGGCGAAGGCATGGAGGCAGGGGCTGGAACAAAGGAAACGTAAAATGCTGAGGAACAAGAATAGCGAGGTGCTTTTTTACTGAGCGTGGGTCTGCATTCAGCAGGAGCTTTTCACAGCCTGCAGCTTCCTCCCAGGGTCCCTACAACGCGTTGCTGCTTCACCCTGTAAATCCTGCTGGTAATTCAGGCTGTGTGTGCAGGGCTGCGTGGGCTGAGCAGCGTGGGCTGTGCTGCGTGTTCCCGTGCAGGGGAGGGCAGTGCTGTGTGGGCTGTGCTGAGCTCTTCCGTGCAGGGGAGTCGCTGTGCTGTGCTGTGCCATGCCATGCCGTGCTGCTCTGTGCCATGCAATGCTGCTCCATGCCGTGCAATGCTGCTCCATGCTGTGCAATGCTGCTCCATGCCATGCAGCGCCATGCTGTGCCATGCAATGCTACACCATGCCATGCAATGCTGCTCCATGGCATGCCATGCTGCTCCGTGCCATGCTGTTCCATGCTGTGCCATGCAATGCTGCTCCATGCCATGCTATGCTGCTCCATGCCATGCAATGCCGTGCTGTGCTATACAGTGTTGCACCATGCCATGCAGTGCTGTGCTATGCCACGCTATGCTGCTCCATGCCATGCCATGCCACACTGTGCCATGCAGTGCTGCTCCATGCCATGCCATGCTGCTCCATGCCATGCTGTGCCATGCAATGCTACACCATGCCATGCAATGCTGCTCCATGGCATGCCATGCTGCTCCGTGCCATGCTGTTCCATGCTGTGCCATGCACTGCTGCTCCATGCCATGCCATGCTGCTCCGTGCCATGCAATGCTATGTTGTGCCATGCCATGCTGCTCCATGCCATGCTGTTCCATGCTGTGCCATGCCATGCTGTGCCATGCCATGCAGTGCTGCTCCATGCCATGCAATGCCGTGCTGTGCTATACAATGTTGCACCATGCCATGCAGTGCTGCTCCATGCCATGCCATGCTGTGCTGTGCTATACAATGTTGCACCATGCCATGCAGTGCTGCTCCATGCCATGCCATGCCATGCTGTGCCATGCAGTTCTGTGCTGCGCCATGCAACTCTGCACTGTGCAATGCCGTGCCATGCTGTGCCATGCTGTGCAGTGCAATGCTGCACCGTGCTGTGCAGTGCTGTGCTGTGCAATGCTGCCCTATGCCATGCAATGCTGCACTGTGCTGTGTTGTGCCAGGCAGCTCAGGGCCACGAAGCAGCTGTGCAGTTAGTGGTGCTTTCTGGCAGTGCTGCGGGGCTGTGCCAGCTGTCTGAGTACAGGCTGCCAAGTGCAGGGCAGGTGCAGTGGGCTCGAGGTGTGTTTGCAATGAGAGGTGTGCATTTTTCCAAGCTGTTCTTTTCCTGTCTTGTGTCTTCAGTGAAGTTAGCCCTGCCTGTCCGAGAGGGCATCCACAACTCACATCTGCATGCTGTGGCAGCATCATTTCTGAACACTTAGCAGCAGATTGCTCCCCGGAAGGCAGCACTCTGACCAAGACCTGATTTGTCCTTCATGCTCAGCAGCAGAGCAGCAGATCCCAGTGGGAGAAGAACCCTGGGGAACTGGGCTGGGCCAAGGCATTCCTAGTAGGACTTTGTTCCTAATCCCAAGGGGATGCAGGGAGGCTACTGCCAAGCCTGGAGTCTGGCTCTGTCCTGCTCGGATCTGTCCTGCATGGCTGCAGCCTGCAGTGCTTCCCTGGGTGCTGCGGATGCTGAAACTGCCCTGTGCTGCTGGGAGGGGTGGGACGGGGCTGGAGGCGATTAGCCTCAGCCTCAGACAAGCAGATGGAGGCAGCGTTATCCTATTAACGGGGCTAAGCAGGGCATCTCTAAGCAGCGCAGGGCTCTGTTGGTGGGTCCCGGGCTCCTCCAGCAGCAGGATGGCTTTCTGGGGTGGCATCCCCTCCAACGGCAGCTCCAGGTAGCAGCTACACCGTGGTAGCACCGAGTCCCCAGGAACAGGTCAGGTACAGCCCTCCCAGCCCTGCACCCTGCACCATGCACCCTGCTGCAGGGGCCTAGAGCATCAGTGGGGGATGCTGGGGGGGGGGGGGGGGGGGGGGGGGGGGGGGGGGGGGGGCAGAACTCCCACGAATGAGGGGTGCGTTGGTGAGCCTGAGCCAGGGGGTGGTGATGGGAGACCCTTCCTTTGGTGATGGTGGCGGTGGGGTGGACTGGGTACTCTGGGGACTGTGTAACTTTGGGAAGTCTTGGGTTCCCTGCTTCTTACTGCCTCGTGCTGCTCCTGAGATGGAGCTTAGAGGGTGCAGGATGGGATCTGGGGGTCTTGGCTGACCCTTAGCTGAACACGAGCCAGCATTGTGCCTGGGTGGCCAAGAAGGCCAGTGGCATCCTGGCTTGTAGCAGCCAGGAATGGGGGTGGGACGGCAGGGGATGGGCTCAGGGTGCAATGGGGAGGGTCAGGTTGGAGACTGGGAACAATCTGTGCTGCAAAGAGCGGTTAGCACTGCACAGCTGCCCAGGGCAGTGGGGAGTCCCCATCCCTGGGGGTGTTCAGTGACCACAGGGATGTGGCACTTGGGGATGTGGTCGGTGGGATGGGTTCAGGTTGGACTGGGGATCTCAGAGCTCTTTCCCAATCTCAGTGATTCTGGGATACTTGCAGCAGGTATGGGGCCATCCTGTGTGGTCTGTGCAGCCCTACCTCCATGGAGCAGTGCTGGGTACCAGCTGGGTCAGGCTGGGCTGTGGCATCACCGCACTCCATGGGATTTGGGCTGCACTGCTGTGGGGCTGTGCTGCTCCACAGAGAGGCACAGAGGTGCATGCTGAGATGTGGTTGGATGTGCAGGAACCTAAAGCTCAGCTTTACTTGTCCTTGGGCTGTGCCACCTCTGTGTGCTGTGTTCATGCCCAGCTGTGCCCAGCAGTGCTGTGGGCAGCGAGAGGCAGCAGCTGGCTGTTCTGACTGTGGTGGGGCAAGCACTGGGCTCTGCTCCTCTCAGCTGCATCCTTGCATGCATCTGGCTTTGGAGCTGTGTGTGTGGGGCTGGTTCTGAGCTCTGACTTACAGGGTGGGAGGAGGCTCTCAGTACACAGCTCCATCCATATGTCCCTATGGGTGCAACCTGCAGCGGGCAGCACCTGGACATGGGATCTGGGACCCCACGAGGTGCACAGGGCTCTGCACGTGCTGCTGAGAGTGTGCAGCCGCAGTTACCAAGGTGACCGTGTTAAGTGATGTTCCTATGGCTACGTGGCTACGCACCGCTGGTGCTGGAGTTACTGTGTGGGGGTGCAGAGCCCCCTGATGTGGTGTTCCTGAGTGAGGCTGCTCTCATTGCAGCCATCCCCCCATTCCACCACTTTCCTGGTGCTGGGTGGTTCTCGGTGCTGGGTTGCCCCAGGCAGGAGGCTCTGCACACCCAGAGGGCCCAGGGCTGCCCCTGCCTGGCTCCCTGTGCCTGGCAGGGAACTGGACACTCCTTTGGGATGGACTCAGTCTCTGCATGGGAAAAGGGCTCCTGGAGCTCCCACCATGGCATCCCTGGATCCCTGTGTGAGCCCTGCCTGCTGCCTGGAGCTGCCCACATGGCACAGAGAGCCCTCAGGTCCTGGATGCATCGTGGGGCAGTCTGTCCTGCACAGTATGGCCAATGGCACCAATGTTGAGGATGTGCTGTGCTGCGTAAGGAAAGGGCAGCCA